ATAAGGTGCAGTGATAGATGAAGAATGGCACCTTTCAAATGAAAATTGGACAATTGCTTTCCAAATTATGTAGGAAATCGGGTAAGATTACATACCACAGCTTATGATTAGTTTAGTCCTAGATGTTTCCCATTCTTGTATCTGATTATGAAAATAAATTACATATTTATTTTTATTCATACTATGGACATTAAAAAAATGTGCATGTTTAAGTAAATGTTTTGATCACCACTTTATTAAACTCTTTACACATTTTTCAATGTGTAAGTAGTTCTTATAGAACTAACAACAATTGAACTTATTGATCTTATGTGTTGACAGTGCATTTTAAGAGAATGGCATGATTTCTCTCTCTCTCTCTCTCTCTCTCTCTCTCTCTCTCTCTCTCTCTCTCTCTCTCTCTCTCTCTCTCTCTCTCTCCCTCTCCCTCTCCCTCCCTCCTCCCTCCCTCCCTCCCTCCCTCCCTCCCTCCCTCCTCCCTCCTCCCTCCCTCCCTCCCTCCCTCCCTCCTCTCCTCCCTCTCTCTCCCTTCTCCTCTCCCTTTCCCTCTCCCTTTCCCTCTCCCTTTCCCTCTCCCTTTCCCTCTCCCTCTGCACAGATGGAAGGGTGTGTGGGCACCAAGAGGCCTGGTCATGTGATACTTGCTGGTTAATGTTACCATATGAGTGGTCAGGAGAAATTATATTTTTCACTTTCTGCATCTCTTTTCAACACATATCAACACTCCTTCTGCCATAGCCAAACTACACATGAAATTTGAGAGAAAGTCATCGTAGCCAAGTTATAGATGACTTTTGGTTGTTATATTTCTGAGGCTGAATGCATTCTCATCAAAATTAGAGATTTGCATCACCTGCAACTTGCTGATCCCCGAATACATATGTCATCTTACCCTTATTCTATTCTTGCTGGGGTGGCATAACATACAGTACATGCCATTTTCACTATAATCTTAGTTTATTGATTTTGCCAGCTCATAGATGACTGCACAAGTTATTCACCAAGATATCTGTTACTAGTCGTACTACCTTATCTCACCAGTTTACACTTTTTCACTATTAAAGATGAGAAATTTTATTGCATGTAGTATTGATGATAACATTATAATAATTGCAATATTGATGATAATAATAATAATATATGAGTAGTGCTATTAATAGCATTAGAAGACCCAAAAATTTGTCACCTCAGCTCACTCAGCCTCCTATGAGGTTTACAGTAAAGTTATGTTTTTCTGTGGTAGTTGCATCTAGGTAAGCTTCAGAATGTCTGTAATAAAGATATAACTGCATAATGATATTTAACAAACTTCTAAGGTGATCAGTCATGTTAGAAAATAAGCAGCATCCTAGCAAGTAGTAAAAGATAAGGATGATGATAATTATCTTTATTATTATAATTATAATGATAATATTAATGTTAGTAATAATAAAGGTAATGGTCACAATAATTAGGATAATGATCATCATGATAATGATTCTTCTTATCAGTTATTATTATTATTTTTGTTATTATTATTATCACCATATTATTGTTATTATTGTTACTACTACTTTCATTATTGATGGATATTGTTATTGCTGCTGTTATTGTTATTGTTATTAACATTCTTATTATTATTATTTATTTATTATATTTTTTAATTATTATTATGATCAGCATTTTTGTAATTAGCGTCATTAATATTATTATAATTTTCATTGTTGTTATCATTATTATATTATTATTATTATATCATTGTTATTATTAGTATTGGTAGTAGCGGTTGTAGTAGTAGTAGTAGTACTAGTAATGATGGTAGTAGTAGTAGTAGTAGTACTACTACTGCTGTTGCTGCTGCTGCTGCTGCTGCTGCTGCTGCTGCTGCTGCTGCTGCTATTATTATTATTACTATTACTATTACTATTACTATTACTTTTACTATTATTGTTACTATTATTACTACTACGACTACTACTACTACTACTACTACTACTACTACTACTACTACTACTACTACTACTACTACTACTACTACTACTACTATTACTACTACTATACTACTACTAGTTGTTGTAGGATTAATATTATTATTATTATTATTATTATTATTATTGTTGTTATTATTCATATTATTATTTTTAATGTTATTATTTTTATATCTTTATTATTATTATTATTATTATTATTATTATTATTATTGTTATTATTTGTTTATTATTAAAATGATTTTTATTATTATTTTGAACAGTATTTTTGTAATTATTGTTATTAACATCATTATAATTTTCATTGTTGTTATTATTATTGTATGAATTTATTATTATTATTATTATTATTTTTTTATTATTATTATTATTTTTTTTTTTATTATTATTATTATTATTATGTAAATATATAATTATTATTAGTAGTAGTAGCAGTATATTGATGTTAATATTAGTATTGGTAGTAGTGGCAGTAGCTAATACTACTAGTTCCACTAGTTGTAGGATTGATATTATTGTTATATTAATGATCACAGTAGTAATAACAATGATTTTAATAACTCTTTTTTATTAATATTATTAAACTGATATTATTATTGTTGTTGTTCCTCTTGTTCATATTATTATTATTATCATTATTATTATTATTATTATTATTATTATTACTATTACTGTTTTTATTATTGATATATATATATTTTTATGTTCTTATCATTATCATTATGATGATGATAATCTTTATTTATTTATTTATTTATTTATTTGTTTATTATTGCTGCTGTTGTTATTAATGTTATAGTAATAATGATAATGATGTTATATGCATTTTTCCTTTTATTATTCCTATTTATTATTATTATTATTGTTATTATCCCTTAGTATTGTTATTGTTATTATCACTTTTAATTATCACTTATTATTGTTAGTGTTGTCATCATTATTTTTATTTTTATTATTGATTATTGTTGTTATTATTATTTTTATTATTATTACTATTATTATTATTGTTGTTGTTGTTGTTGTTGTTGTATTGTATTTTTTTACAATATTTCATTATTTTTTATTAGTATTGTTATTTCTATTATTGTTGTTATTATTGATATTAATATTTTTGTTATTATTTATATTATTAATATTGTTTTTGTTATTATATATGTTATCAATATTATTTTTGTTAATATTAATGTTACTATAATATTTTTAAAAGTATTATGATTATAATTATTGAAAATGTTATTATTAATATCAGCAGCAGCATTATTTTTTATTATTATTATTAGTAGTAGTACTATTGTTATAAACCTATCATTCTAATAATTTTTATTATTATTACTGTGATGATGATAATGATAATAATAATATTTATTGTTTAACTATTTTTATATATTATCTTTTTTATTACTATTATAATGATTATTATTGCTGACTTATTGTTAGTATTGTTGTTATTGTCATTAGTAATATTATTTTTGTTGGTGGTAATGTTGTTGTGTTGTTATTCTTATTGTATGTTATCAGTGTTATTGGTCCTGTTATTATTATTATTGTTGTTATCGTTGTTGTTATTACTGGTATTGCTATTAGTATTACAGATATCATTATCATTATTATTATTATTGTTATTTTTTTTTGCTGTTCTTGTTATTGTTATTATTGTTTTTATTATTATTATTACATACTATTTTTAATGTTTTTTTATGGAGAGCGTAATTTTTTTATTATTATTATTGTTATTAGTAGTAGTAGTAGTAGTAGTAGTAGTAGTAGTAGTAGTAGTATCATTGTCAATATTATTATTATATACTATTTTTGTTATTTTAGGTCAATATTTTATTGTTATTATTGATATTGCATTTATTGTTACTGTTATTATCATGAGTTATTATTATTATTATTATTATTATAATTACTATTATTATTATTATTATTATTGTTATTATTATTATTATTATTGTTATTAGAATTATGAATATTGTTTTTATTGTTGTTATTATTATTATTATTATTATCATTATTATTATTATTATTATTATTATTATTACTATTACTATTGTTATTGTTATTATTTTAATCCTTTACTTGGCAGTTTTTATGTTTTTTGAATGGGATTTAAAGATGGTAGCCTAGCATGTATGCTTGCATGCATGCGTGCAAGCATACATGCAAGCATGCCCCCCTTCCCCCCCACACACATACATACACATACACACACACAAACTTATATAATGATTTTGATAGTTATAAATTTATTATTATCATAATCATCAACAACATAATTGTTATTATCATCATTATTTTTAATATTATGTTTATATATATTTCTTTCTTTCTTTTTTTCTTCCAATAACAATTATTGTTGTTATTATTATTATTATTGTTAATATTACTATTTCTGTTACTAATATTATTACCCATACTATTACTGTTACTATTGTTAATAAAATTACTGTTGTTATTACTATTATTAATTGTTCTTATATATTGTTTCTTTTTTTTCTCTCTCTCTCACTTTCATTATTGTTAGATGACCAGTTTTTGTGTTTCAGTTTGATATGTAGTATTGATATGATTTTCACTTCAGTATTGAAAAATGAATAGGTGATGATAAATGAATGCAAAGAATGTTTTGTGTGGTTAATTGAAATAGGTGTCTGACAATTCCACATTGAAAAGTGTCACTGGAGAATGGCAGGAATGGTTGTCCTTCTCTCAGTATGTAGTGATTGATGGCTGGTTTTATAGTGACCTCATGCTGTTTCTTACTTGATCACAGAAGTCGTGTCAGTATTCGGGTCAGAGATAGAGTTATGCCTTGCGGATTTTTATTTTATAAACTTCAGTGGATCTTTAGTAGAAATATGTATATTGATATAATTTGGTAAGGTATACTCACAAGTGGTGAGTGAGATGTGGGAAAAGCTGTTTGGAAAAAGATATCTTCTTAGATTAAAGTTAAATTAATGTAAAGTAATATTGTAATCTCAAGTTGTTTTTACAGACATACTGATAGCTAAATTCATATTTTTCTTTCAGGCAGTAGACCTAACAAAACCTATAGACAAGAGAGCATACAACAAAGAAGATGTTCCAACATGTCATGATTTCAACACCACTACAGCCAGCGGTGAAGGAGTGTCATTGCTGGTAGGGTTGTTGGGTGGCCAGGTACAACTCATAGACCCTATCACTAAGGAGGTTAATAAAGCTTACAATGCTGGAGAGGTTAGTAAAAGTTCCTTGTGATACTGTTCTCTTTGTTTTTCTTTTCTTGTTTTGTGACATCTCCACTTATATTGGAATCATTTCATGTAATTTTATTTTAGTTCCCCTCCCCATATTTCTGTGATATAATTTAAGAGGTAAAACCAATTTTAATATTCATTCTTACCATTTCAGAGACTGATTGACAAGACAAAAGTAACTTGTGTAAAGTGGGTACCAGGCTCTCCTAACCAGTTTTTAGCTGCTCATAGTAGCGGACATATGTACACTTATAATGAAGAACTGTTGTGTGGTGTTGATAGACCTCACTATCAGCTCTTTAAACAAGGCGAGGGATACTCAGTCTACACATGTAAAACCAAAAGCACGAGAAACCCGTTATACAGATGGGTCATTGGTGAAGGAAGCATCAACGAGTTTGCCTTTTCACCGTGCTCAAAATACTTGGCTGTGGTGTCCCAGGATGGTTCTTTGAGGGTGTTTAACTTTGATACAATGGACTTAGTGGGGAGTGCTAGAAGTTATTATGGGGGTTTATTGTGTGTTTGTTGGTCGCCTGATGGGAGATACGTTGTTACAGGAGGTGAAGATGACCTCATAACTGTGTGGTCATTTCAAGAGAAAAGAGTTGTGGCCAGAGGACAGGGTCATAAGAGTTGGGTCACTGTAGTGGCCTTTGATTCTTATACAACATTATATAGTGATATGGATGGTTTTGATGTTTGTAACGAAGACACAACGAAGCATAATAATGTAGGTAATGATGTAAGAAGTGGAAAATCTGTTAATAGTGCTCCTAATTCTAAACCAAACTCTAACAGGAACTCTCTGGCCTCTGAAGGCTTAGGATTGTCTGTA